CCTCCTGAGATCCTCCAGGAACTGCTCCAAACCCCCCTGAGATCCTCCAGGAACCTCCCAAACCTCCTGAGATCCTCCAGGAACTGCTCCAAACCCCCCTGAGATCCTCCAGGAACCTCCCAAACCTCGTGGAATTCCCCAAACTCCCAGGATCTCCTGGAGTCCCACCTCGATCACGTCCTGCTTGGCCTTCTTGATGGTGTTCTGGATGTCCTGGTAGGTCTTGGCGTCGGCGATGGAGTCCCCGATGCCGATGGTGTGACCTGGGGGGGACATTTGGGGTTCAGGGGGATCCCCCCCAAAATTTGGGGTCTTCTCCAGCCCCTCACCCCAAAAAACCAACCCTGGGTCAGGTTCTGGTCAGGCTGTGGGACAAAGGGAGGACGTGGGGACAATGAGGTCCTTCAGGGACAGAAATGGGGGTGGGACACTCCCCCAAAATTCCTGAGTCCTCCTTGTCCCAAAAAGGGTCCAAGGACCACCAGGACCTCAAGGATGGGGTCCAAGAGCCCCAGGGCTCCACCAAGTTGGAACCTGAGAAGGTCCCCAGGTGACCAAACCCCCACTAGATGCCACCAAGAAGGTTTTCAGCCCCACAGGTCCCAAAAAAGGGGTCCAAGAACCACCAGGACCTCAAGAATGGGGCCCAAGAGCTCCAGGGCTCCACCAAGCTGGGATCTGAGAAGATCCCCAGGTGACCAAACCCCCACTAGATGCCACCAGGAAGGTCCCCAGGAGCTCCTGGAGCACGCTGACCCTCGATGAGCAGCCAGTTGTTGATGACGGTCTGGATGTTGCTGTAGAAGAGGCGCGTGGTGTCGTGGCCCATCTCCAGGTAGGAGATGTGCACCAGGGACCCGGCCGACGTCCCCAGGGACTTCTTGCACAGGATGCCCATGATGAGCTCCCCGTTCTCCACGATCACCTGGGGACATGCGAGGAACGGGGTCAGGACCTCGAAGGTCCAAAAAAAGTCCCCAAAACCCACCTGGAGCACCCCAAAAACGACCCCGGGTCACCTCAAAGTCTACAAAGCCCTCCAAGACCTCCTCAAGTTCCACCAAAGCCCCCTGAGAACATCCCAAGTGCCCTCAGGCCACCCAAATCAGGCTCAGATCCCACCAAAGACTCCTGAGATCCCACCAAAGCTCCCTCAGATCCCACCAAAACCCCATCAAACCACCCAAAGCCTCCTCAGGTCCCACCAAAGCTCCCTCAGATCCCACCAAAACCCCATCAGACCCCACCAAACCCCATCAGACCCCACCAAAGCCCCCTCAGACCCCACCAAACCCCATCAGACCCCACCAAAACCCATCAGATCTCATCAAAACCCATCAGATCTCATCAAAACCCCATCAAACCACCCAAAGCCTCCTCAGGTCCCACCAAAGCTCCCTCACATTCCAGCAAAGCCCCCTCAGGTCCCACCAAAGCTTCCTCAGGTCCCATCAAAGCTCCCTCAGATCTCATCAAAACCCCATCAAACCACCCAAAGCTCCCTCAGATCCCACCAAACCCCATCAGACCCCACCAAACCCCATCAGATCTCATCAAAACCCCATCAAACTCCATCAAACCACCCTCAGATCCCATCAAAACCCCATCAGACCCCACCAAAGCCCCCTCAGACCCCACCAAAGCCCCCTCAGACCCCACCAAACCCCATCAGACCCCACCAAACCCCATCAGACGCCACCAAAGCCCCCTCAGACCCCACCAAAACCCCCTCAGACCCCACCAAACCCCCTCAAATCCCACCAAACCCCATCAGATCCCACCAAAACCCCATCAAACCACCCGAAGCCCCCTCAGACCCCACCAAGC